CTTTTGACGTCTTAACAGTTAACATAAAAATATAAATACATATTTCATTTAAGCTTAAACACAAAAATCAAACTTTATCCTTGAGTGAGCTTCATAAATATGGAAATTGATACAGATCATTGCCTCAAAAACCTTTCAGCTCATTTTCTAAGTCACGTTCACTTATTAACCAAGACAAAAGTATAAAGAAAAATCAAAAGCAGAATCAAAATCAATATCTATGCACAATTCTAAATGTAAAGAGCAACCTACTAGCAAATCAAAATAAAAATTCTAACAAATTAAATCTGGGAAGCAATATTCTTACAATAAAAAACGAATGACGAACACCATCAGTATAAGTTACTTATGAAAGAATTAACACTATTTTAAAGCAATATAAAAAATCTAAACTATAAGCACTACCGAACAATCTAACTGTTTAATATTTCTTTGTTGTCTTTTTTTAATGTCTGCTCTTCTACGCCTTCCCGCCTTTAACTTTCTTCTGTCTCTCTTTTACATCACGGCGCTAACACTTGCATGCGTATAAAAGCTTTGAAACTATTAAATTTAAAAAAAAAAAAAAAACAAATATCCAAAATTAATATCAAACACAAAAGACCTACGATTACAAAAATACCAAAATTAACAACAACGAAAAACTAAACGCTTAAACATTATTTGGCAAATATTTTGAAAAAAAAAACAGAAAATCTAAAACTTCATTAATGAAAATATAAATTAATTAAATTAATAAAATACTTATGTATTGTGTTCCCGCCCCACCAAAACTTCACCACTACTCCAACCACAAACCACGACTACTGCTAAAACACAACCACCACCAACAACAACAAAAACAACGACGACGACTACCAACAACCTGGATAATTTGACATACTTATGAATTAATATAAATTAATAAATTTTATTGGTATCTACAATAAGCAGCTGATTGCATGTAAAAGACACATAATAAATCGTCCGAAACGAAATAGACGAATGCCACTTAAATACATGTAACACATGAGTAACTAACCGAATGAGGGTATGTTACTAAAACAAAACTAATAAAAAAAAAGAAAGGTATGTGAAAGAAATATACAGCTGCTAATGGAAAGTAGAATTAGCAAGATTAATTAAATTTTGGCATTACAACCTCGAAGTTGCGTCGTATAAGCTTGCCTGGCCGCAAGTGGCCATCCAATTCAAAATTGAATTTCTAAAAGAAATAAAAATTGTCTATCAAACTGCATGCCCCTAAAGTTAACAACCTCAAAATTGTTTTAAAAACAAGCACACATGCACACAACTCTACACACACGCCGCTCAAGCAACTACGAGAGTTCGCCCGCCAGCAAAGTTAGAAGAGTAGGACTTGAAGAAATTTGGAAATACAACGAACGGAAGCAGCAGCAGCAGTAAAATGGCGTTTGAAAGGGATTTCCAGGAACTGTTAACGATCTACGCACGTACATACATATGTACATATTTTGAAAGCATCATCCTACAATCATCAATTCCTCAACTGGTCGGTGCACGAGCGCCATATGTGTTCGCTAATTGTGTCCGCGCATATGTTGTTTTTGTCCATTTTGTTTTGCACAAAATTGAGCGGTTAAAATGCAACGAATATCGCGGAAGATGTGTAAATTTAGCAACGCCAGCTTTATCCTTTACTCTACCACCTCCTGTCTTCCTGTTCACCCGTTCACCTGCTTCTCTGTTACAACGGCTACAACATCTTTCAACTACATAGTATCATTCTTGAAGCAAACAAGCAAGCAAAAAGTCTTTCGCGTAAGTTTCGTTTCGTCCTAAGTTCTTGTTTATTTCCTTTTTTCTTAGTATGTACTTAGTTAGTTGTTTTACACTTTTACTTTTTGCTATTTGTTTCGTTAATTGTTTCGCTGTTGCGTCGTAGTTTTAATTAAGAAAATAAAGACTTTTATTCACAAAATCCACCACCCAGCACCAACCTACATACATACTTACTCACATTGTGCTCTATTTAATTGTCGTTGCTTTTCTTTGGTGTTGCTTTTCTCTTCCCTAAGTAGCTGTTTGACCCCTACACAATCCCGCCCCAACACACACACACACACACACACATAATTTAATTACACATACATTTTGGTGTCCAAAACAAGTAGTAAATTAAAAAAAAAAAACATACAATTTCCCACATTTTTGAAAAAAAAAAAAATCTTAATCCTTTGTGATTTTATTGAAAAAGTTGGAATGCAGTTTTTTCTCAATATTTATAAAAAAAGGTCACTTAGTTACAAAAAGAATTTATACAATTGCTAATTTTAAAAAATATAGTAAAACCATTGATGAAGTGCTGCATTAAGAGTTTGCTTGAGACTTCCTCTCTGGCGAACTTTGCAGCCCATACAGCCTAATTCCGAACATAATTTGTAATCGAGAGGATTTAAAACTTGGCCACCCAAGCGCCAATACTTAGCATAAAAAAGCTGCTGGTTGTCGTCGCTAGGAATTTCTTTGACTACTTGTGGACTTCTTCAGCGAACGCTGGGAGAAAACTAGGTCATGTACCAATGCAAGACCGTTCTGGCCGATGGTGGACGGGGCGCTCTACGAACCCTTTTAGGCTCGCGATTGGAATGCACGCAGTGAGATTAAACCTAACACTGGACCCTCTTTGTTGCAGCTGCATGGAGGATGACGAGGTGGACTCCTCTCAACACTTCCTCTTAAACTGCCCAGCTTTTGATAGACTGCGGCACCGTCCTCTAGGATCGTACGCGTTCGTTTCTGACACTGTCCTCTAAATGAGAGCATTCTAAGAAACAATCGGTCGTACGGCAAACAGATTCTGGGATATACCGATTTAAAAAAGTCAATATCTGACACCTTTCTTTGTTACTCCACTCAATGTTAATCAGTTTGAACCGAATTTATTTGTATTTACATTGAAGAAAATCCAACAACGGGGTCATTATATTTAAAATTTCAAAGTCGAATGCTTTGAAAATCTTCTAACAAAGCTTATGAAAGTCCGAAGTAAAATCTTCAAAGTCAAGTATCAAGTATATTCAACAATTTTGATTGAGTTTGAGAGAAATTGGATCCCTCCAAAGGAGTGTAAAAGTTTCAAAGTTGCGGCGGTCTTACAGAAACGAATTTTTTTCGTTAATAAGCTCTAATATGATGATGCATTGTCCTTTCAAACAATATACAGTGCCAGCCACTTGAATAGCACTCCCTGTTGATCCTCAGATTGACAGTTTTCCTTTTGTTTATTTTATATTTATTAATTTTGTATAAAAATGTAGCATTTCCTATAGAAAGACCATGTGCATAAATCCGATTTTCAAACTTTACACAAATTTTGTAATAATTCAACAAATTTTCTGCAAAATTTAGCTCAACAAAAAAAATTATAAAAAAAATCAAAGAGAAACTTGCATCTTATTATACTAATATTTAATTTTAATAGAATCTGAACACGTAGTTACTCTCAGCTGGAAGTATTTCAGTTATGAAACGCATATCTAATGTTGACTTGTTCTAAGCATGATACAACAATTTTTAGAAGGTAGTTCCATTTCAAATATTTTTGACATTATCCATGTCTGTGACAAACACGCAATGTGGCCACTTCTACTTGGGTATTTTCGCTTGTTATTTTAGATAGTTTTTAATAGAACATGTAAAGATTTATATATTTCATAACTGATCACTTAATTTTTAATATACATATACATACGCATTTAATTTATACATTCTTGCCACTGTTAATCACATGAATAAAAATCATAAAAGCGAAAATGTGGCAGATCCATCGCACACCACGGACTTCATCGGCCGCTGATTTAGTTGGGCTCGCTAGTCTTTAAATTGCATTTCGGAGCGATTTGGTTAGAGTAGGGTGCGCATCTCCATACACCTTCATGTATTTAAATAGGCGGCCGATAAATATGTGGTGTGCGATGGCTCTTATAGCTGTATCCTTAAATCTATTCCGTGTATTCCTATATCCACGGAAGTAGCAATTATTTTTTTCATAATATTTTATTAAGAAAATTATTAAAAAATATTAGAATATTCCTCTACTTATATGCTTGGCTTTCCTTTGTTTTATTTTTCCAACGTCGAAAGCTGGATTTTTTTGTTTTTGAAAAAGTTGGTACAACAAAAAGTACGATATACGTTTTCTGTCAGATAGCTAACATGGCGGATAAGAAGAAGTGAAACTACCTTCTAAAAATTATTGTATCATGATATATGGTTTATCTCTGACATTTATTTCAAAGCTTACTACGAAAAAAAAATCTTCAAATTGAGTAATTCGAAAGAGTGTTATTGGATAAAATAAAGGGGAGCATTTTTCCAAACGCTTTCTTTGGAATATGCTATATTTCTTTTAAAAAATTAATGAATATTAAATACTGCTAAAAACTACCTCCTTTATTTCAAGTGTAAAATTATATTAAAAACCTCATGGATTTTAAGTTTTCTCAATTTATTTACATATGTACTCGCACACAGCCTAAGGTAGAGAGTCAAATGCCAGCGATTCTCATTTGAAGCGAGTCTACCGTTATTCTTGTAACTTGGTAACAATTTAAAAATTTTGTGTACATTTTCTGGTTGTAAATTATTTCTTGTTTAATAGTCAATAACTCAAAAAATAAAAATAGAAATTGTGTTGCTTAAAGCTGGTGCTGGTTTCAAAAAGCACTGCCTCATTCAATATTTTTATAACCTTTTTTGCCATTATGTGCTACTAACACGCTCAAAATAAGTTAAATTAATAAATTAGTTTCACAGTTTTTTATGTTGCATGAATTCTTATGGTTTGGCAAACATGTATAGTTTCATAGATATGCACCCAATCCTTTTCTTTCATTGCTATCCCTAAATTCCTTGTATTTACTGCTATTGCACGTATATTAATTTTTGCTTTCTTATTTTTCTATTTTCTCCCCATCTGTTTCCAAAAACCAAAAACCAAACACCAAAACCTTTGGCATTTTCTTGCACGTTTACAGCATTCACTACTTTTTGAGCTGCAGCTACCGAACTCCAAAGGCTGTAATAAAACTAACAAACCCACGACAGCGGGCGCATCCTGGCGACAACAACAATGGCACCAAGTGCTTACACAAGCCTTAAGTGACCATGTGCATCTCGGTAGCGCTGGCGGGGGCGGCGGTGTCGACGCTTGTGTTGACCTTGATTGCGCCGTCGATGTAGGTGGCAGCGCGCTCTCGCCCACAACCTTTGCTTCCCGGCCGTTGCCACTTCAATTGGGTGCAAATCTCCAGCTGAAGAGCAAAAGCAAAGACAACTATAACTTCGTACGTGCCTATGAGTTGGAGGAGCAAACCAAACTGCACCAACAACATGAAAGCAAAATGAAATCATTGCTGCCAGAAGCTAGCATATCCAGCTATGATTATTACTACTCGAATGACTCTCTCCGAAGTTCAGATTGCGGCAGTGACAATTTGGTAGTCACCTTCGATTATGGCTTTAGTGACTCGTTGCTCGAAGAAATATCTGGAAATGATTTTAGTGTGGAAAAGAAAATGCAGGCTGACTTGCGTACAGTGTTTCCAATTAAGGAGGAAATAGAATATGCGCCCAACGTTGAAGAGACCAATGTTTGGTGGCGGAAGCCAGAGAGTGCAAACAGCTTAAAAAAATATGACGATGATGACTACAGCGATAGCTGGGAACAGCAGGAAGAGGAAGGGGAAGCGGAGAGGATAGCACCCGATGACCATGAGGCGCAAATTTGGTTTAACACAGCGCTGACACGCAGTCAAAATGAGGGCTGTGCTGGTACCGCATTCAAAGTACATCACATGCAACATGCCCTTTTGGTGGGGGATAATGAAGAAATGGAGTTGGTAGACGAAGAGGTGCGTGAAGAGAGTCTCGATTCGTCGTTAGAAGTAGAAGATCGAAAAAACGTCAGCCAGCGCAGTGCGAGTACCAGTAGCGCCAGCAGTTTCTACTACCGGCACTTGGCGCTGGAACAGTGGGGTAGGGCGACCGAGACCGAGACCGCCGTCGATGTTGCGCCTAATGTAGCGGAAATGAAAACAAATGAAGAGGGCGATGCTGGAAGCGGCGAAGAGGAATTCTTCGATAGTTTGAATTTAGCGTTGTAGTCAGCACTCTTTTTACATTTACTTATGTACTTGTTGCTATTTCGTTATTTGTTTAAAAGATGACTTAATTAGCGCAAACGGTGCTTGATTTTTCCACAAAGAAATTTTGAGATATATTTTTCTAGCACAAAATTCTTTACACTTCTCGCTTCTAACATATCGCTCGTTTGCTGGAAAAACGACTTGATTCTAAAAGAAAGAATTGCCCATTCTTCTTTGATGTAAGGCCATGAGAGTAGAAGTGGCCTCACCCAACTTTCTGTTTGTGTACTTCCCTACTTAAAAGGGTCTCAAATGTGATAATTGATGATTAATTTTAAGGTACAAAGCTATTTAACGTACTATCAAATTAGGAAATAAGCGACCTTTACTTTAAAATGTATACCATTTGAAACTATTTTAAGAAGTTAATTAAAAAAAATGTGTCCACTTTACTATAACTAAAAAACAAACTCTTTGCCCACAGTAAGGAATCAATTTAAGTTGACCGCTGTATCAAATTTTACGATGGCATACATATACAGTCAGCGTCAAAAATATGAATCCACTGAAGTTTTGACGTCTTTATTTATTTATATTTTCCATAACAAATTTTTTCTTATTTTTCTATAAAAATATAGTTCATTCAACAGCAAAATAAATTTTTTTAATTTCATGTAGAACGGGAAAATTCAATAAATACCAAGAAATTTTCATCGAAATCTTCAATTTCTCAATTCGAATCCTTGGGAAAATTTGGAGTATGCAGTTTTGTAGCCCATTAAATTTTAGTATAATAAAGTGCCAGTTTTAAGTCTCTAAAAAGTACCTTCATTATACCGCACGAACAAAATTTATGAAAGAAAATGCGCAATAGCCTGGACAAAAAAAAATCTCAAAAATCAATGGTAATTTTTAAAGACCTGAAACTTGCACTTCATTGCACTAAAATTTAATGGGCTGCAAAACTGAATACTACATTATTCTTAGAAATCGAGTTAAAAAGTTGAAAATTTCGATGAAAATTTCTTGACATTTCTTGAAATTTTCCGAACTCTATGTATATCAAATAAAACAAATTTTATTCTGCTTGTTTTACTGTTGAATGAACTATATTTTTATAAAAAAATAAGAAAAATTTAGTGCGGAAAATATAAATAAATAAAATCGTCAAAATGTCAGGGATTTATATTTTTGACGCTTACTGTATGTCCATATGTATGTATGTATTAAACTTTTATAGCTTCTTCTTTGTTTAATGGGAAAACCCTGACTAAAAACTATTAACAATTGGGGTATTCATACCTGCCTGGTTATCAGATTATCTGATTAAAAATTATTATTCACAGAGTGTCACTTGTTGTAAACTGAGTAAAAAGGATAGCCACATAATCAGATAACGAGGCTGGTGTGCATAACCCAATTGTTATTGGGCTTTGAATCATGGTTTCTTTGTCAATAAATTAAAAGAATATAGCTCTTTTCTTAAATTTTTAATTTATTCATTTATGATGTTCTTCCCTCAAACGAGCGATATGCAATAATCACGTTTAGATATCAAAAGGTGTTTAAAGAAAATATCTTAGGAAATTTTATGAGAAATATTTTTTTTTTGCGATTGTTCATATTATTTTCCTTTGCTTATTTTTTTTTAGAAAAATTAATGAATATTTTTTCCTAAAAGCTATTTGTAGAGAAAAGAATTCTTATTGAAACAAATTTGTTTAATGCAATATTTTTGGTCACAAAAAATAGTTTTGTTTACGGCCTTCCCAAACAGGCGTACAATTGAGTAATTAATAAATAATTAAATTTTTTCTAATACATAACTACATATCGGGTCCTAACCTCAAATATAATGTCAGCGACATAATTTTTCAAAATCTACTTTTATTGCAAGAATGCCTCCCGATGATTTAAGGGCATTTTTGCATCAAAACTAAATTAAAAAGAAAAAATACGTTTACGTTATATGTATGAATTTGAAAAAATTTTGTTTTGAACCTGATACATTTTGGAGAAGAAATAAAAATTGACCACTGCTCACATAATTTTATATGCAGCCACAGAAGAGGAGAACATTTTTTTTCTTGTAGTGTAGCCCCGTTCTTATTTATTTTAATATATATTTTTTTTTTGTATTCATGAATCAACAACACTACTGTTTTACTACCTTAATACCTTTATTTACATAAATACACTAGTGCTTATTTATAACGGGTGATTTTTTAAGAGCTTGATACCTTTTTTTTTAAAAAAAACGCATAAAATTTGCAAAATCTCATCGGTTCTTTATTTGAAACGTTAGATTGGTCCATGACATTTACTTTTTGAAGATAATTTCATTTAAATGTTGACCGCGGCTGCGTCTTAGGTGGTCCATTCGGAAAGTCCAATTTTGGGCAACTTTTTCGAGCATTTCGGCCGGAATAGCCCGAATTTCTTCGGAAATGTTGTCTTCCAAAGCTGGAATAGTTGCTGGCTTATTTCTGTAGACTTTAGACTTGACGTAGCCCCACAAAAAATAGTCTAAAGGCGTCAAATCGCATGATCTTGGTGGCCAACTTACCGGTCCATTTCTTGAGATGAATTGTTCTCCGAAGTTTTCCCTCAAAATGGCCATAGAATCGCGAGCTGTGTGGCATGTAGCGCCATCTTGTTGAAACCACATGTCAACCAAGTTCAGTTCTTCCATTTTTGGCAACAAAAAGTTTGTTAGCATCGAACGATAGCGATCGCCATTCACCGTAACGGCGACGAATCGACATTTCACGGTCTTCAGCAACACTCTCAGAAACAGACGCAATATTCTCTTCTGTACGCACTGTACGCATTCGTGTGGTTGGTTTAATGTCCAATAAAGTAAACTGAGTGCGAAACTTGGTCACAATCGCATTAATTGTTTGCTCACTTGGTCGATTATGTAGACCATAAATCGGACGTAAAGCGCGAAACACATTTCGAACCGAACACTGATTTTGGTAATAAAATTCAATGATTTGCAAGCGTTGCTCGTTAGTAAGTCTATTCATGATGAAATGTCAAAGCATACTGAGCATCTTTCTCTTTGACACCATGTCTGAAATCCCACGTGATCTGTCAAATACTAATGCATGAAAATCCTAACCTCAAAAAAATCACCCGTTACATACTAGATGCGTCGTCTTATATCATATCTATTTGTATGTATATTGTAGAAAAACATTTAAATATATATAAACTTTTAGTATTCGAGTAGTTTTTGATCTAATTATTATTATTTTTTTTTGCAAACTCTTTGCTTAATGTCTTATTTTTCCTTATAACTTTATTTATGTATGTATTATTTCGCTTTGCTACATTATAAAAAGTTCCTTATACGCACTGCAGCTTAGACAATAGAAATTAATGGCGCGAAAAAAATTATGGACTTCTTAAGTAAACAAATAATAATTGAATAAAAAATCCTATGAGCGCATGCTTATAAAGAAATGATGGCATGTATATATAAGGGATAATTTATTTTACAAAAATATAAAAAATATTTATTAAAACGAAAAATTAATAATTCATAAAATAATAGCAATAAAGAAAATTTAAGTCTATTAGGTCGTGATTTATTTTGAGGTAAAATGATAAAATGATAACAAATATATTGATACGCATGTATGGTATGTATATGAAGGTTTTCAATAGAGAAAGACTAGTCTCAAAAGCATGCCTGTGGAAATCTATTAGCTGTTTGAGAATTAAAAAATAAATAAAAACTAGGCCTAGAAAAGCCTGCTCTTAAATAAAATATATATACTTTTAGCAGTTATATAATTTAGAATTAGTGTTAATATTTTTTGGACATATGCGCGCATGAAAAGTTTGGACACATTCAAAACAAAAAAGAAAATTATAAATTTAGTACTTGCAAGTCTGTTAAATATCAATTAACTAATTTATATTTAAATTTAAATAAATAATAAATGTATGTATTTGTATACTTTTTTTTTTTAATTAAGTTCATACTTTATGTATATATGTATTTTCGTTTTTTGTTTAACGCACACAAATCTAGTTCGCAAAAATTAGGTTTTCTTCTAATAGTAACTCGAAGCGTAAGCAATATCGTTACCTTAATATAGAAAGGTCCTAACTCGCTTTCGTTTAAAATCCAGTTTGGTACGAAAGTCGGTCACTTATAGAGCTGTATAATAAAAAAAAATAAAGCGTTGAAAAGGAACATCGAGCTGATTTACTATTCAATTTTTAAACACTTTGCAAAGAAACTTAAACACTAGATAGGGTGTTTCTATATCAAGGTACATATGTATGTGTATAATTTTTCACGTTTATGTGTGAGTAAAGTTTGTTAAAAACACTACCTATTTAGTAATAATTTTTCTTTGTATCAAATTGTATTCAATTGCTATTTAACAATGTAATTACACTTGAACTGTAAAATATTTTAATTATATGCTATAATTTATTATATGTAACTATTACATATATTGTCTATAGGAGAAGTAAAGTGTCATCAGTACTTGTAAGCACACATACATACGTACACACTGCAAACTGTACATACAAATGAATACATATTTGGGTAGTTCACTATTTTTGATTACTGTTAAGTATACTTATCTAATGATTGTTAAATAAATATACGCATATGTATCATTACACAGAAATGTTCATATGTATGTATAATTATGACGCAAATTCTACTACTACAAGTATACATGCATAACAGATACCTACTAAATATATGCTCTATACATACAAAAATACATATATCCTATTATTGATTATGATTATATTCGTATTGCCTAAATATTAGGTTTTTTGCTCTGCTGTTTGTGAAATGAATGCAAATTATTATAAATCAAAACATGCATACATATGTATATTATTAATATTGTATTAATTATATTTATATACAAAAAGCATAATGCTACAGTTGCAAGTAAATAAATGCATCTAGAAGTGAATATAAGAAATAAAGAATAAATTGTAAAACATACATACACATATATTAAAAATTGCTGTTCTCTCATTTCAATGGCTTTGGTAAGTAGGTAATGCGCAAGAAAATGGTTTAAAAAATTTGATCGGATATTTGTTTGATGCTTTGTCGAAAGGTAAGGGAGTGAAAACTCTGCTTAAATAGTTGCATGTGTCCAAAATTTTATTGAGTTCGGAATATGAAATATCGCATACTTACGGTGACCATCCGTAATGTATTATACGCTTGTGATTCGAATCGAGGAGCACATATGTAGATGGTTTCTGAAGTTATAATTTTGCGTAGGGAAACTGGGTATTTGTGGGTATAAATAGAAATTAATCGTTAATGATTATTGTTCAAATTTCTAAAATAAAAAATTCTCTAGTATTGAATATTCTATGTTGAGCAAAGCATATTGAATAAGTAGCAGCAGTAGAGCAGCTGAAAAGTAAATGTTGCGAATTTCGTCTTTAAATTGTCATGTTTGTTTAAATTTTACTCTAAAATTTCAAACTTTGTTTACGTTTGTGGATTCCAAAAACAACAAGAAAATGCACGCACCTTGCTCTTGGGTACTATTACCAATGTGCCGTGGGGTGGAGGCAATTCTCAAATTTTGTGAAGGGAGAATATGTT